TGGTAATAGGAGCGAAAGAAGCTGCCTCAACCCACTTTATGAAATAGTCAATGGCCACCAAGATGAAGCGGTGTCCATTAGAAGCTGTAGGTTTGACTTCTCCAATCATGTTGATGCCCCACATCGCGAATGGCCAGGGAGCAGTCAGGACGTTTAGAGGGACTGGAGCCACATGCACTTTGATAGTATAGATCTGACACTTGTGAAAGGTTCGTGAATGCTAATAGCAATCTTCTTCCCTTGTAGACCAGTAATACCCCACCCGTAGGATCTTTTTAGCCATCGTATGCCCACTAGAATGGGTGCCAAAAGTTCCTTCATGTAGATCAGCCATGATCTTGTCTGCCTCAACCTTGTCTATGCAACAAAGCAAAGTAGAGTCTTGATTGCGCTTGTAGATAATATCGTTACTGAGGAAGAACTTAGCAGAGAATCTTCTCAAGAACTTCTGATCATGGACTGAAGCTCCCTCCGGATACTCTTGGTCCTTAAGATACTTTTTAACTTCATGGAACTAAGGCTTTTCTACTACTTCTTCAATATCCATCTCGTGACAGTAAGCTGGTTCATCCATCCACTCAATGGTGATCTGGGGAGTCTCGTTACCCCACTTGAGTTTAAACATGGATGACATAGTGGCTAGCGCGTCCGCTAGTTGATTTTCCTCTCGTGGAAAATCCTCAAAGGTAATTTCCTCAAAATGTGGGATTAATGTTAACACATGTTCTTTGTAGGGGATGAGATAAGGGTGCTTCGTGTCCCATTTTCCTTTGATCTGACTGATGACTAAGGATGAATCTCCAAATACACTTAAGAACTTGATTCCCAAATCTATGGCAGCTTTGAGACCCATAATACACGCTTCATATTTTGCCATATTATTGGTACAGTTGAAACAAAGTCTTGCAGTGAAGGGAGTATGGCATCCTTCTTGGGATATGATCACAACACCTATGCCATTTCCGAGTGTGTTGGAAGCTCCATCAAAAACCAAGGTCCATTGGGATCCTTGTTCAGGTCCGTCATATGGTTTGAATTCTTCATAATTGTTTACCATCATGATGTCTTCATCTGGGAACTCGAATTTCATGGACTGATAGTCATCCACAGCCTGATAAGCAAGGTGATCGGCTAGTACACTGCCCTTTATTGCTTTTTGGGTAGTGTACTAAATATCGTATTCAGTCATGATCATTTGCCATCTTGATACTCTTCCAGAGAGGGCGGGCTTCTCGAATATGTATTTAATTGGATCCATCTTGGATATCAATAAGGTAGTATGGGTCAACATATACTTCCTTAGACGGCGAGCAACCCATGCCAGAGCGCAGCAAGTTTTCTCGAGCAGTGAATATCTGGTTTCACAGTCGGTATACTTTTTGCTCAGGTAGTATATTGCGTGCTCTTTTCGGCCAGACTCGTCATGCTGCCCCAGCACACACCCCATTGAATTTTCCAAGATAGTTTGATACATGATCAAAGGTCTTCCCTCGACTGGCGGCATCAAAACAGGATGCTCTTGAAGGTACTCTTTGATCTTGTCGAAGGCATCTTGGCATTCATCATTCCATCTGACTACTTGATCTTTCTTCAGTAATTTGAAGATTGGTTCACAAGTAGCGGTTAGGTGAGAAATGAATTTGGCGATGTAGTTTATCCGTCCTAAGAATCTCCTGACTTCCATCTCAGTTTGAGGAGTAGGCATTTCTTGTATTTATTTTACCTTTGCAGGGTCCACTTCGATACCTTTACCACTGACGATGAAGCCTAGGAGTTTACCGGACCTCACTCCAAATGTGCATTTATTCGGGTTCAACCTTAGCTTGTATTTCCTTAGCCTTTCAAACAATTTCAGAAAATGGTCAAGATGTTCCTATTCAGTTTGAGATATGGCTATCATGTCATCCACGTAGACCTCTATTTCGTGATGGATCATATCATGAAACAGAGCTACCATGGAGCACTGATAGGTTGCCCCAACATTTTTCAAACCGAATGGCATAACTTTGTAACAGAATGTGACCCACTGTGTGACGAAGGTCGTTTTCTTCATGTCCTCAAGTGCCATTTTGATTTGATTATAGCCTGAGAAACCATCCATAAATGAGAACACTTTATGTTGTGCGGTATTGTCAACCAGAATGTCGATATGGGGAAGCGGGAAATCATCCTTAGGGCTTGCGCTATTCAAATCTCTATAATCCACACACAAGTGTACTTTATCGTCCCTTTTAGGCACTAGAACAATATTGGCAACCCATTGTGGATAGGAGGTGACGGCTCGTTGAATTGTTTCATGACTTCAGTCTTGATCTTCTCTGACATGTCTGGCTGCATGCGACAAATTTTCTATTTTACCGAAGGGTAGTCTTCTTTTGTCGGTAGACGATGGACCACGATATCAGCATCAAGTCCTGGCATGTCTTCGTATGACCAAGCAAATACCTCAACATAGTCATGTAGTAACTGAGTTAAGTGCTTCTTGACACTCGATTCCAGATTGGCACCTACCTTGACTTCTTTCTTGTCCTCTTCGGTACCTAAATTAACTGTGACAACCAGTTCTTTGTGGGGCTGTATGGTCCTTTTTCCTGTTGTAGTAACCTGGCTAGTTCCCTTGGTACCTCACTATCTTCCTCACCTTCGTCGTCGGCTTGGTAGATCGGATTTTTAAAGTCACAATAGGCCATAGCAGAATCGTTATCCATGGGATCCTGAGTGGATGTGGATCTGCATTTTGATAAGTGAGTGTGTGTAAGAGCATAGCTATCTTTGAAAAATAAAAAGTTGTAGAAAAATAAGAACAAAGAGCGTAAGTTTTGTATGTAAAAAGTCCATGATTCATTGATGACGTATGAAAATGAAGTAACAACCCTTACAAATGGACCTTTGTGCCTCGGGTAAGACACTAGGTTTTAAAAGTCTCAATTGTTTAATTATTACAAGTCCGACAAAAATTTAAATACAATTACTGTTGGATAAAAGTAATAGGGATAAATTCTTTAGTTCCCAGTTGTTGATTCCTCCACTGATAGTTGGGAAAATCCATTCTTCCAGGTCACAGCTGTCATCACTATCCTCCACTACGTTGACTCCATGATTGTTAATCCGCAAAGGTGGTCCCTCAGCACGAGCATGACGAACAGCTTTTTAGGCTCCTGAAGTAAAACCCAAACCAAATTTGTCAAACTCGTAGGAAATATCTGGGAGTTGGCCCCAAATAGTACACCCACCTTCTTCGACTACTACCTTGGCATCTTTCAGAGAAGCCATCTTCAGTAGAGGTCTTGTGATCTTCGGAACTTTCGAAACAGTCTTGGTTGCAGCAACTATTTGTTGGACTTCCTCGAAATGCTGACATGGAGTTTCGATGAATTCACCATCCATTTCTACATATCTAAAGGAGTTCAAGTGACTGACCATATATTCCTCCTCTCCATGGACAGTGATGATTTTTCCCTTGATTGGGTACTTCAACATCTGATGTAATGTAGAGGTGACAGCACCGACGTTATGAATCCAAGGTCGTCCCAATAAACAGGAATAGGAAGGGCGAATATCCATTACATAGAAAGTTGAATAAAAGGTCTGAGTTCCAAATTTAATGGGGATGTCCACCTCCCCGTGCACCATTCTCTTCGAACCGTCGAAGGCCCTTAACACTATGTTGCTGGGTTTTAAGGTCAAACCTTCACAGTCTAGTCTATCCAGAGCCTTCTTAGGAAGCACATTCAATGATGAACCAGTATCTACCAGAATATGGGCAAAAGTAGTGCCCATGCATTCGACAGAGACATGAAATGCCTCGTTGTGTTTCCTATCTCTAGGTGTCAGGTCAGCATCAGAAAAGCCCAAACTGTTATCAGCGGTCAAACTGGCCACACCATCTTTGAATTGGTCAGCAGAGGTTTCTTGTGGCACATGGGCAGTTTTAAGAAATCGCACCAAGGCCTTCGCATGAGCCTCGGAGCACAATAGTAAATCTAGCATAGAAATCTTTGAAGGGGTTTCACTACAAGAAAAAAAGAGATTTACGACACATAAATTGCGACAGTTCCCACAAAACCGTCCTTATTCCTGAATTGCGACAGTTGTCACGACGGTTAGGCTCAACCGTCGTAGATTTTCAAGCATTATTCCTGAATTGCGACAGTTGTCACGACGGTTAGGCTACTTTTTTTTATTCTTTTACTTTCCCACTTTTTTTCAGCAACACAATATCATAATATCAACACAATATCATAATATTTTCAGCAACTAATATTTATTATTAAATTATAAACAAAATACAACAAATAAAAATATAAAAAAACAAAATAGGAGTAACAAACAAAATTGAAAGAGGATTAGGTTTTGTGAAAGAGCTTTTTATCCGATTGAAGCAAAGAACCACCGCCGGAAGTACGGTGTTGCGCCTAGAATGGTGAAGCTTCCATTCTTCGATTCGACTCAATCTTCTTCATCTTCTGCGCGATCTTTGTATCATCCGAATATCAAGGTATATAAATTATTGATTCAATCTTCTTCTACTTCTTTTCAATTTTCTTTCGATTTTACCGTGGTGATGTGTTTCGGTTGAAGTTGCAGAATCAGTTGCATTGATGAAGATGATGAACGAATGAAGTTATTGATTCAGTGAAGATGCATTGAGGACGATTGAAAAACGGAAGGTGATGATGCTGTTTTGAGATAACCAGAAGGTGAGTTTTTCTTTCTTTCTGTGAATCTCCTTCTGAGTTTTTTGTGTGATTTTCTGATTGAATGAATCGTGAGCCAAGTGAGAGAGTGAAAGTTTTGTATGATGTAAAGGACTTGTGATGATAATGGTTTTGTAATGCTTGTGAACAACTTGTAATGAACATGATAGACTACGGTGGCTCCATATTCAGAATTTCAACCGCCGGTCACTGCAATTTGAGTGTTTATTCAGTATATTAAATCCATCCTCTTTGTCGAGAAAGGGTCTTGATGTTCATACTGTCCATCTCCATAGGCTACTGATGCGCTTTCAACATTTAGAGTCTTTATCCTTATGTGGTTGTACGGAGCTCAATGATTCAGGATTAACCCGTCTGCTAAGCTATGGTTCGAATTTACAGAAACTTAATCTAGATTGTTGTTTGAAAGTTACTGATTACGGGCTATCCCTGGTTGCTTCTGGTTGTCCCTCATTGACGTCAATTAGTCTCTATCGGTGTATCAACATTTCTGATGACGGATTAGAGACTTTAGCCACTGCTTGTTTATCTTTGAAATGCATAAACCTCTCGTACTGCTCACAAATATCCGACAAAGGGTTGAAAGCTCTTACTCAGAGGTGTCGTCAGCTTCAGGCAGTTAACATATCACACTGTGAGAGTATAAGAGGTGTTGGCTTCAAAGGGTGTTCAAAATCTCTCACACATGTAGAGGCTTGGTCTTGTAAGCTCAACCCAGAAGGGGTGACGGGAATAATTAGTGGCGGTGGTATAGAGTATCTAGACGTATCTTGTTTAAGTTGGTATCCCTTAGGAGATACCTTGCTTGGAATAAGATTGTCCTCAAACCTCAAAGTCCTTAACTTTCGAATGTGCAGATCTGTTTCCGATACTTCTATTGTTGCAATAGCCATGGGATGTACACTACTTGAAGAATGGAACTTAGCATTATGTCATGAGGTGAGGATATCTGGATGGCAAGCAGTGGGGTTATATTGTCAGAATTTGAAGAGACTGCATGTTAATCGATGCCGTAATCTCAATGATAATGGCCTGCAGGCATTACGAGACGGTTGCAGAAGTCTCTCGGTTTTGTACTTGAATGGTTGTGTTCACGTGACTCCTTTTGCATTAGAGTTATTCAAGTCTCACAGAGCAAATGTTTGTATAAAGGATGAAGAGGTAATGTGCATCAATCCTTACTACTTGATTGTTAAGTTTTGTAATATTCTATCTTAAATACTCACAGATTAACACATGCAATGAATTGTCGGATTTTGGCTATTTTATTATTATGGCTTGTGGAATCACTGTTTTGCAGCAAATAGGTTTAGTTCCATATACATATTTCTGTTTTGAATTATCAGGTTGTTTCTTATGCTGAAATTGGTGTTATGCTCACCACTCCTAATTTTTTGTTGTTTTAGATATCAGCTTCATATATCATATAATCCGTGGTCAAGCAACAATCAAACTGTATGTGATCTACAACGTCTTAGAGGTGAGCATAAATTAACCCTTATCCAAATTTTACTTAGTAATTTGCTCTCCTTTCATACCAAATATTTGGACTAACCCTATTATAGATATAGAGCAATAAGATTGTGACCAACATGATATATTCCGAAATATGAAAGAATGGAAGATAACTGAGCTGGCTTTGTGTTGATTTCAATAGGCTTTGTGTTGATTTCAATAGGCTTTGTGTTGATTTCTAATCTTTTACGAAAGTTTGTAACATGAAGAACAAAACGAGTGGCTTATCTGTTCGCACTCTCAAGGTGGAAACTTCGCCAAGCATTGAAACTATAGATTTTTTAATTCATTAAATCAAAAGGGTTATCACTTATCACTAAAATCAGGGTTCCTTTCAAGATCAAATAACATTCAACAACATTTTCTAGGTTACCTGTGGAGGTTGTCAGAGTGCTCACACAGCTGCTATTGGTAGGTAACTTTCTGGTTTATGCTGAGCATTATGTTTTTTAGGAGGGAAGTGTACTTTTGGTGGATATTGTGCTTAGTTCTTAGCAATTAATGCTACCCATATCATGATTTGCTTATTTTGCAGCTGTTCTGTGTGCTGAGAGAGGAATTACGTCACATCTGCTTCTACGAGGAGAGCAGCCTGAAATCTTGACTGGCTATAACTTGATGTCTACAATATATGGAAATGTCACATATGTTCCGAGAACTATGTACGCCAACAGGGAAGAAATGCTAAAGAACTATGCTAGGTCAGTGGCCGGAAACAGTGGTGCTTTCCTATGGTTCAATGATATCATTCAAGCTTCTTCAACAGGCGAATTGTCTACTTCTCAAAATTTTACGAAAATGGACGCAAGTAGAAGTGAGAGAAACCATCTTCAAAAGATTTTAGTTGTCAACGAAGGGGCTGGTGATTCTGTTGCTCTACTAGGTAATGGGAAGTTGAAGTTTGAAAAACAACAATGCATATCTTTGGGATCATTTTCTCTTAACAATGCATAGCCGTTAACTTTATGGACTGTTGCGGAAAGAACTTAAATGAAAATGTTGTTTCTTTGTATAGGTATTATTCGGTTAGTGCAATACTTATCACAAAATCATTTACTTGGGAAACAAAGAGCCACAAAATTTGTCGTTGATGCTGGTACTGGCACAACAGCTATTGGTATAGGACTTGCAGCCATTTTCTTTGGGTGCGGATCAGTTTGTATACTGCTAATTTACTTAAAAAGTATTTTTGAATCATTTTCCCGAAACTGTTCATGTTGCGTTTTGAACCATAACAGAAAAGGCTACATTAAATCTCAGTAATCAGATTTGTTGTTTCCTTGCAGACTTCCGTGGGAGGTACACGCGGTTATGCTGGCAGATAAAATTGATGGGTACCGAAAGAAGGAAAAGCACTTGATTGTTGAATTCAGTAAGCATTTCAATGTTGAGTTTCTTGACCACGACGTAAACAAAGAAGATGCTGGGATTGTGCATTGGGTGGAACGTGACCGTCCAAGAAAGTAAGATGTTATAGACTTTTTATTTCTTTTTTACGGTATAAAGATGTCATAGACTTTGCAGCAATTAGATTGCTAGTGGTATATATAAAAAAGACACCTCCGACAAATAATTCAGATAGCGGTGATTCACATCTGTGATGTTCTGATGGTAACTATAAATAGGTGACTTAACTCTTCTGCAACTTCTTTATATAAACACGTCAAAGTAGTTGTAAGGCCAAATGTTTTGCTATAGTTCATCATAAATACTTGACTGGTCTTATAGGGTATTGTGATGATGGCACCTAACAAATGACAATTTTAATGTTTGTTGTTTTATTTACACTACTACACATGTGAGTGAAATATTTGTAGTAAGTGTTATTGAAATTCGAGTCTTTTCGTTTAATTTGTATCAGTTATAACATAGGAACTCTAATCGCTAGATTTGGCCTTTATCAAGGTTACAGATTCAATTTTGCGCTGCTTACATTTTCATCGGGGTTGTTTGCATTCTTCTTTATTTTGTAAGTGATTATTGCTCACATTTTTTTTAAATACATGCTTTCAATTATTATTGTTTATGTTAACCTGTATGACAGTGATTGAGTTTCATGGTTGATGTTAATATTACATGAAGGAGTATGAGTACATTGCATAACAACTAATTGCTTGCTTCTATTCCTCCAAGCTGGAGCTTCATCGATCAATTCACTGTATTAGTACAAGGTATTCATGTTCCTCCTGAATGTACATGTAACGTCATAGTAAATTCTATTTTACAGTTTGAAATATTCTGCCCCTTCATATTGAGCGTGTTCTTTTTTATTTAATCATTTTGTTTAAACATGGTTAATGATCTTAGGGACTAGACGCAATGGTTGGTGAACATGGAACTCAACTCTAGGGAGGTCAAAAGCAAAGAGTTGCAATTGGAAGAGCAATTTTGAAAGATCCAAAAATATTACTTCTTGATGAAGCTACAAGTGCCCTTGATGCCGAGTGTGCATGTATTGATACTAACTTGTGCATTTGTATGTTCTTTTTAAACCTTGGTGATTTCCTTGTGCAGAAACTAGGGGAAGGTGTGAAAGGGGTGTATATCTCGATAGACGTGGATTGTCTTGATCCTGCATTTGCTCCGGGAGTGTCTCATATTGAACCGGGAGGTCTTTCTTTCCGCGATGTTCTTAACATCCTACACAATCTTCAAGGTGATGTTGTTGCTGGAGACGTCGTTGAACTCAACCCACAACGCGATACTGTTGATGGAATGACTGCTATGGTAGCTGCTAAGTTGGTCAGAGAAATGGCTGCAAAGATTGCAAAATGATCAAGAGATTTCGGAGCTAACCTCTTTTTGTTATAGTTCCTGAAAATCGGAAAATCTCACTTGTTATAGGTAACTTGTAGCAAAGTTATAAGGTGGTATAAGCATATTACAATGTGCAATAATTCATAAATCTTTTCTCCCAATAATAAGTACTGGTATCTCACGGAAATCTCACGCTTCAATAGCAAAAGCAATGTCTCCTTGCATTATTTTACAAATGGTTTCCCAACTGAATTAATAATACTGAGTTAGTAAATATTTCAAAACAATTGGATTGCTCATTTCAAAACAATGTTGAAAAGTGATAGAAAATAAAATAAAAATACTATAAATAAAAAAATATTAAAGTAAATAATAATTTAAATATAATAGTAAAATATTATAGTAAAATAATATTATATTTAAAATTATTTTACTAAATAATAATTTAAATAAAAATATTATTTGAAATTTATAAATCAGATTACGACGGTTAAAGTCAAATTCACGACGGTATATAACCGTCGCAAACAACAACAACAAAAAATAAAGTCAAATTCACGACGGTATATAACCGTCGCAAACAACAACAACAAAAAATAAAGTCAAATTCACGACGGTATATAACCGTCGCAAACAACAACAAAAACAAAAAATAAAGTCAAATTCACGACGGTATATAACCGTCGCCATCTGTTGTGCGTGACAGTTTTTGCAACCGTCGCGAAATAGGCTGGGGACGCACGATTCTGCGACGGTACTTCTACCGTCGTAGATTGTAAATTGCGACGGTTTTAACCGTCGTAATCAGCCAAAATAACCGTCCCAATCTATCATTTTTCTTGTAGTGTTTGCCCTAACTGTTCGACTACATTGTAGTCGCTTCTCTATAATTTTCAAAATTTATTCCATCTCCTTCTTAGAGGCCTCTGGGATAGATACTGATTGCACCTTCATCCGGATAGGTTCAACCAAAATGCCTTTGCCACGAGTCTCGGTCGACTCGGTGATAGGGGTGTCAGTAGGGGTAACCACATGACCTATAGTAGTAGTGTCAATAGGAACAAATGTAGGGATGATCACCGGACCGGTAACAGTTTTAGGAGGAGAAATCTCATGGGAGAACACCCTTCCACTTCTGGTTATTTTTTTGGTTCCTACAATGTTGCCGATGTCGGGGTCAGCCTTCTCAAAAATTGAGTCTTCATCAGCCAACCAATCTTGCTTGACGCCATCGTAGTAGACGTCACCCCCATAGTTCCAGGGGACAGTTTTAACTGAGGAGTATGGGATTGGCCCTGGCATAGTAATTATCAGTGGAGTCACCTTCAGAACAGATGTAATCCTAACGGGTCTTTTGATGGAGACCCTGGGAGGATTAGAGGAAATGGTTACTATTGAAACATCCTTGTAAGCAAAGGTTGGAATGGGAGTTTTTTCAAACAAAATCTCTTGGTCATCCATCAGGCGCTGGACACCTGCTTTCAATAAATGACAACCAGTCGGTAGGGATAAATAGAGGTGTTAGCCTTCACCACAACCCAAAAATAAACCGGCCTTCAACATGTTCCTCTTGACGGTCAGGAGAGGAGTAACAAGTTCATCAACAACAGTAACAAACACATCATCTTCAACAGTGTTATCATCACGGCCGTGCTTGGGCATAGAAGCAGTGATAACATTTGGAATCTCAGGAGCATCAAACTCAATTTATTTTGCCTCGAGAAGGTCTTGCACTTTCTTTTTCAAAACCCAGCAGTCGTTTGTATCATGACCTGGACTTTCTGAATGGTAAGCACAACGATCGTTTGGGTTGTAACAGGGAGAGGCAGTGTTGGGATTCTTTGGAGCTTCCCACAAGGTTATCAGATTAGATCTCAACAAATGTGGCAAGACTTGAGACAGCATCATATTTATCTGGGTAACTTTTCTTACCAGTCTTTCTGTTCTAGGCTGGTTGTTCCTTTGTTGAGTAGGTGTAGGCTTAGGGATCATGAAGGCCCCTACCGTTGGACGGTGCTCTGTTCTGTCCTGATTCCTTTGATAGTACACAACACCAACCTCTTTCTTCCGAGTGAGTGGTTTTCTTACGGAACTGGAGGATGCGTCCTTTTGAATCTTCCCACTCTTAATCCCAGCTTCCACTCTCTCCCCGGTCAAGATTAATTCAGTGAAGCCGACTGAAGAGCTTCCAATTAGATGATTAAATAAAGGACAAGACATGGTACCCATAAATATGTCCACTAGCTCCCTGTCAGACAGGGGAGGCTGGACTCTTCCTGCTAAGTCCCTCCACTTCTAAGCGTAGTCTTTGAAACCCTCGCTTGAACTCATAGCCAGACTCTGGAGTTGAGTATGGTTGAGAGAAAGGTCTGTGTTATACTGATAATGCTTATAAAAAGCAGCGGCCAGGTCTTACGAATTATGGATATTGGCCCTCTCCTGTTGATAGAACCAATCTAGCTGAGTCCTGGATAGACTATCCTGAAAGAAGTGGACCCATAAATCTCTATCAGCAGCGCGAGGCTGTATCTTCCTCACATAAGATCGGAGGTGCATCTTGGGACACGAAACCCCGTCGTACTTATCAAACACTGGTGCCTTGAACTTTGGTGTAATAACAATCCCAGACACCAAACCCAGTTGTTCATAGTCCAGCCCATGCACTTTCTGAATCTCCATTGCACTAAAGCGATCTTCCAACTGTTTGTATTTGTCGTCAGCTGGAGGATACTGCTCTTCAGAGTAATCAACCTCTTCTTCCTCTTCATATTATGGATGGTCAGTCACTTCCTTGTTTTTCCCTTCTTGATTATCTTTTTCACCTGACGATGTTGAGAAGTCTAGATTTCGTCTAGCTTTCCCTTGGAACCTTCTTCCCAGATTTAAAACACCGGTTGATTTCTTTAATTTCTTCTTCTTTTCTTTGATCAGCATGGTTTTCAACTCATCTCGTCCTTTTTCCAGAGACAATAACATTTGTTGAAACTACGCATTCTGCGCCTGGAGATCTTTTACTGTTTGTTCAATATCCATCTCACTAAAATAAACAGTAGAAAGATAAGGAGACCTGTTGTAAGAAACATGCTTGTGTTATGATGAATGAAGGTGCATATGCAATGATTTCAAGGAAATTAGAGATTTAAATTTTCTTTAGACAAAAAATGAACACACGTTATATTAATAAATCAAAGTTTGAGTACATCATGCCTCTTTGGGCTTACAAAGAAATACAAAACTCTAAGATAAAAAAGTTTAACGCATCCTCGTTGGTGCAATGTAGGCGTTCAGGCTCCGCTCCTCATGAAGCTGCTTGGTGAGTTCCAGAACTTTCTTCTCGTTGGCGTAAAATTGGGCCTCAAAAGTGTCTCGCTCCCCCTTAAGCTTTATCCAATCCCTTTGCAAGTATTCGAGAGAGGTGGGCATGCTAGGATGAAGGATAGTGTATGGGACATCTCCTTCCACAACAGGCTCTATGATAACTGGGAGAATGGAGGGGTAAGGCATCATAAGACTTTGAGCACGGGCTCATACCCATTTGAGATAAGGCTCAAGAGGGATGGAATTCTTGTGCCCCAATGTCTTACTATCTACCTTGTTCAACATCCTCCAAGCTCGGATAAACCTCTGGTGGTAACCTTGATCGTCGTTCTCGTAATCAAATACCAACCCTTGAATAAGCATCTCATGCGTACCATCCATTCGGGCGTCACCAAACTGTCTTAAGGCCAAGCAGGGGTTGTAATTGATACCTCCTCTAATGCCAAGTAGGGGTACATTTGGGAATTCTCCACAACGATCGATGATAGTAAAATTCTCCACAGATCGGGAACACCAATGAATATCTGAATGTCTTAGCATCATCAACCTATGGGACCCCCTTGAACCTTGCTCGTTCTTCAACACATATTGGGGAAGATGCGAAATAAACCATCTTGTAAAGAGAGGAGTACAACACATGAGGATACCTCTTTTCCTCATAGTGAGAGAGTGAAAAGAATGTAGGATATCTCCTAACAAAGTAGGCACCGAGTTACGAGACATGAATATTTTGACGGTGTTTACATCTATGAGTTGGTCAAGATTTGGAAACAAAACCATCCCATAGATGAGAAGGGCCAGAATTTCCTCAAAAGCTTGCAAATGCAAAGACTTCCAACAGTCTTGAGCTTTCTTAAACAAGACCTTGGCTAAGAAACCTTTGACACCACTCATTGTTTCCCAATTAGTTGTGACATCAGATTGTTGAAAGTGCAGTGCCTGAGCAATCCCTTCTGGTTTTGGATCTCTTTCCGTACCGTTGAAGGGTAGTTGATTGAGAATGGGAATCCTCAAGAGTTGGGAGAATTCTTCCAAAGTTGGAACAAGTTGATAATCGGGAAATGTGAAGCAATGGTGTAGAGGATCAAAGAATTGGAAGAGCACCTTTATCATATCCTCATTAGTGTTGGAGGTAACCAAGTTTAGGAGGCGACCATGTCTTTCGGTAAATGGAGAATTCTCATGAACCCTTGATGCTAACTCTTTAAGTTGAGCAGGGATTCTTATGAGATTGACTTGAATGGTTTTCCTGCGAATAGAATCCATGTCCTACAAAATAGAACAAAGATAAATCCTAAAAATCCTTGAAATGGTTAGTGAGTATGAGTATGAGTATGATGTTATGATGTTTATGATGTTATGTACAAGTAAATATATACAAACAAAACAAACAAGTCCTTAGGTTTAGGCTTGCATGGAGTCTCATAGGTAAGTACCCTCTTGAAGTTTAGTTGGCTCAAACCTGTCCTAGCAATAGTAATTGGGTTCTAAGGGAGCTCAATATCACTGGTTTTCCTTCTCGGGCATTGTTTCAGTGCAAGCCTCTTTAATGGCGACCGAAATATCACAAAAAACCAAACCTCAATGAGTGTAGTATAGAGTAACTACCAACTTCAGACTGCACCAAAGTCGGTCATCTCACTACGTCCTAATGGCCAAGTTGGTCAAGTAAAGGTTCTAGAAGTCAGTTAGCGCTTCAT